TGTTAGAGGTTTTTAGAGGATCAATAACCATCTGTTAGAGGTTTTAGTGGACCAGAAACCAGCTGTTATAGGTTTTAGAGGATCAGTAACCAGCTGTTAGAGGTTTTAGAGGATCAGAAACCAGCTGTTAGAGATTTTAGAGGATCAGAAACCAGCTGTTAAAGGTTTTAGAGGATCAGTAACCAGCTGTTAGAGGTTTTAGAGGACCATAAACCAGCTGTTAAAGGTTTTAGAGGACCAGAAACCAGCTGTTAGAAGTTTTAAAGGACCAGAAACCAGCTGTTAGAAGTTTTAGAGGATCAGAAACCATCTGTTAGAGATTTTAGAGGATCAGAAACCAGCTGTTGGAGGTTTTGGTGGGAATGTTGTCTCAACAGTTCTGGGTCTTCTTTCAGGAATTTTTGCTGGATGGGAGCAGATGTTGTTCTAAAATGTATTTATACTTGTCTACATCGATGGTGTCTTTCCAGATGTGTAAGCTGGCCCTGCCAGTGGCACTAATGCACCTCTATACCATTAGAGAGGCAGGCCGTTGAACAGTGGGCTGGTGGTCCCTCTTCTGTTTAGTACGGAGGACTTGGTGTCTGGTTTGCATAGAGAATATCAAATTTCAGTTTTTCTGACTGAAGAACAGTTCCACTTTGCCTCGGTCCATTGAAAAATATGTTCAGGGTGCGGCTGGTTCTGATTTTGGGCCACGCTGAGACACTGATCCGTGCTTTTATAACCAGCTGGTCTTCTAAAGAGTCCAACAAACGATTCAGAGCTGGAGCTCACGAGTCCTGTCCTGAAGCCCTTACTGTTTGTTTGGGGTTCATTTTAAAATTATTCCGTTGTTTTATTTATTTAGTGTAAAACAGGTTGAATTTCATCAAACGTGCCTGAAAGGTGCTGTAGGAATAAAACTCGAACGACTTTACAGATTTTACTTTCACAGCTTTTTGTTGCAACGTTTTTTGAGTCATTTTGCTGCAATAAAATTCTAATTTACCTTATTTAAAATAAAAAAGTACAATTTCTTAGTTTTAGCATTTGATACGTTTACTATGTTGTGAGTAAAATATGTGTTTTT